GCACATAGGCAAATGAGCTAACAGGCCATGATGGGACTTCCGGGAGACAGTCAAGGGATGGAGATTCAAGCAGAGAGTTGCAAGCCACTCTTCCCCCCCACCCCACCCCACCCCCACCCCCCACTTCCCGATGCAAGCAGCTGCTTTACAGAGTTCATTCGGAGAGCGCCCCACGGCTGGCTTCCTCCACCTCTCCAAGTCCAGTCCTTTTCCATGGAAAGGCAGTGGGTATTCACAAAGTAGCTTTAGAAGTCACGTCCTCCTCTTCCCCCGCCCGCCCCCAATTCATCAAGCAGCCCCCCTAACTCCCCAGGGGGGGGCGGGGAAGCCCTCCGGTCCATGCGGGGAGGTCTGTTTTTGTAACAGAAGCCAAAGGTTGGATAGTTTTACGTGTACACAGGAAAACAAAACAAATACACCTATTTTATCTTCCGGAACAGCTCCTCTGCCTTGGAAAGAGGAGTTTTTTGGGGGGGGGGGAGGAGGGGGGAAAATATAACTTTCTCTGCCACTCCACTCCACAAAGCCCAAAGCTTCTTTCAGGGGCAAAAGGACGAAAGAGGGCCAAAATGCTGGAACTTTGGTGACAGAGAAAGAGGGGAGAAAGGGGGCAGAAGAGACAACTCCTTAGAGGGACGTTCTCCCAAAGCAAGGCATGAACCAAGGTTTAAAGTTGGTGCTGGGGGAGGAGGGGCGAGCAGGACCGCCGCCGGAGCAAGTGTAGAACAAGCATTGGCTAAACTGGACACGAGAGTGGAGCTGTGGCTCTCCGGGGACCCTGACGGGATGCCCGAGATCCGAAGACGGGCTCGGGCCCCGATCTCCCTCCGAGCACCAGAGCTGCATGGGACATTCCGGGACTTGGGGAGATTTCGGGTGCGCTCCTTTGGACCGCCGCAGCATCCCCTTTCCCCGTTCTCCTCCTCCTCCTCCCCCCCCACTACAGCCGGTCCATCCGGAAAGTGTCCTCTGTGGCGGGATCCGCAAGGACCATGTCGGGGTCGTTGAGCATGTGAAGCCCATCCAAGGTCAAGGGGTCGATTTTTAGTTCGTCCAGAGGGAACTGGGAATCTGAGTCAAAGCCGACATCCCCCACCCCGGCCAAAGAGCTGGTGAGGTCTTTCGACAGACTGGGAGGCGACTCCCCGGTCACTACAGAGAGAAAGAGAGAGAGAGAGGAGGAGAGAGAGAAAGAGAGGGAAGGAGAGGGAGAGAGAGAGAAAGAGAGAGAATGAATTTTGATCAGGTTTGCTCAGTTTCCCCTTCAATCTGAGCTATTTGTTCTAACCCAGGGGTAGGCAACCTTGGCTCTTTTATGACTCGTGGACTTCAACTCCCAGAATTCCTGAGCCAGCAGGAATTCCTGAGCACAGCTGGCTCAGGAATTCTGGGAGTTGAAGTCCACGAGTCATACAAGAGCCAAGGTTGCCTACCCCTGTTCTAACCCAATGAAGCCAGTAAAGAAAAAAAAAAAAAGGAAAAACAGATGGTTCCTATTTCAAGTCACAAGTGGATGACCAATGACCATGAGCCGGGGGGGTGTCTCTTGTGTCAAGAGCTGTAGGATGACCAAGGAGGTCACCCCAACCTCAACCAACCTCCTGTTCAATGCAAACGATTCAGGATTGGGGCTAAATTGGGGGACGGGGGGGCAGGGAGTGGCTAAGCGCTGCTTGACCCTGAGCAGCTCCATTTTCCTCGAAGTCAAGGTCCAGCCATTTTATAAATGATAAATAAAAAAGCAGAGAGTTCACCAAATCTCTTAAATTTGGGGGGGATCTTAGGGGAGTTTTAAATTTTCTTTCTGGCAATTTTTCTCCAGGTAACGGGACCCACTTTTAAATTATTCTGGCCATCACGAAGTTTCTCCTTATGTCGGGGGTAGGCAACCTCGGCTCTTTTATGACTCGTGGACTTCAACTCCCAGAATTCCTGAGTCAGCCATGCTGACTCAGGAATTCTGGGAGTTGAAGTCCACGAGTCATAAAAGAGCCGAGGTTGCCGACCCCTGCCTTATGTTAAACGGAAGAACAACAAAACCCAAAAAAATGGATCTAGTCTTGAGCTTCCAACACAGAATGCAAAAGTGTTCTGCTTCTTTATAATGATCTTTCAGGAAGTTAATTATCTGTCCCCGCCCAGTTCTATCTACCTTTTCTCACTCCCTTCGCTATCCCTTCATCTATATTTAAAAGATTCATCACAACCCTCATTTGCAAAAGGCCTCCTTTTCCAAATAGGGTTGGTGATTCGTAACCTACAGATCACACCGCAGGATTAACCCCTTCTGCAGCCCCCTTAACCTCCAGTTCAGAATGCTCTTCCAGTTTATTTTTTTATTGTTGTGGAGTTTAAGAAGTGAAATTAGCGATTTGATCTCTTTTAAAAAAAAAGATTACCAAAAAAAAACAAAAAAAAAAAAAACCAGGCCATTTTTTTTTTCTAGGGAAGGAGGCAAAATGCTTGACGTTTCCTACAAGGTTTCAAGTAACTCATCACAACCCATTAACACAATTCCCCCCCCCCCCAAAAAAAGGCTCTTATAGCATCGCTATTCATAAAATAAATAAATAAATAAATAAATAAATAAATAAATAAATAAATAAATAAATAAATAAATAAATAAATAAATAAATAAATAAATAAATAAGCACCGCCCCCGGGTGCAAGAAAGATTACCTATCCTTGAACTTACAGGTTTAGCAGCCCCTGCTATCTATTTAATAATAATAATAATAATAATAATAATAATAATAATAATAATAATAATTCCTCTGGTCCACTAATTTTATCACTTGGTCAAAGAATGCAATCAGATTTGTCTGGCATGATCTGTTTTTGACAAACCCATGTTGGCTTTTAGTAATGACTTTTGTTTGCCTCTAGGCCAGACATGTCAAACTCGCGACGTCACATGACGTCGCGCAACGTATCGGGACGGTTTTGCCATTGCCGGCAATGGGGTGGGCGTGGCTTACGGATGACACGTCCGGCCCGTGAGCCAGCAATCTGACACCCCTGCTCTAGGCAATCTGCATTTGTTTGCCTCTAGGCAATCTGCATTTCCCAAAGACCTAAAATCACAGTGTTTCATTACCTGTAAGAATGATGTTAGGGATGTTCCCGTGGCTGGTGTAACTGAGCTGCTGTGGGTCCTGGAGACTTCCGTGGCTCCCGGTCAGCCCCATCATGGCTGCCTGGGAGTAGTTGAGGGTAGAGCAGGGGCTGTACAAACTATTGGAGCTGATGGCGTTTTCAATCATGTTGAACTGCTCGAGCTGAAGGAAGGAATCCTGGAGATCAGATCAAAGGCCTATTTCTAAGGCCCACCAGAGGTAGGATGTGAAGGCCACCATTTCGTCCCCAGTTCTCACCCCCAACCCACTTTGAGATACATTGCACCTACAGACATAAATCCCACTTGGCTCCATCGTTTGCCCTCTGCAGGGGGTGGGGGACTATGGCTTGCGCTGGCCTCAGGAATTCTGGGAGTTGAAGTCCACAAGTCATAAAATGGCCGTAGTTCTCCACCTCTGCTCTAGAGCCTTGGCAACTTTTAAGATTTGTGGGCTCCAATTCCCAGAATTCCCCAGTTGGAGTAGAAGCCCACACCACTTCGAGACAAGAGATCTTTTACAAGCAGGGGCTGAAAGCAGCCAGCTCTCCTCCTGATTTTGCTTTTGGTTCTGGAGAAGGCTAGGAGCAACCATACACTAAGAGTAGCCAGGTTGAATATCTAGCATCCACCCATGCGGTCAGTCTATGACCATTTCCATGATTCTTTTTTTCTGGGTAAATGATGCTTAACATTACTCCTAAAAAAACATGTAAATGACTTTTTGTGTGGACAAGGGACACACTTGTCAATTAAACCTAAAGCACGTAGCAATTAATTAAGTAAAAGTAATGAAAAACCATTTGTGTCAGTTGAAAAGCAGAGCTCTCAATTCTGGGTTTTTTTATATTTGGAAGTTGTCATTAAAATTGGTGTTATTCAAACTTTTATTTTAAGATTGCAGGATCTGTTACTTTAGAAATATAGAGCAGGGGTAGGCAACCTTGGCTCTTTTATAACTCGTGGACTTCAACTCCCAGAATTCCTGAGCCAGCCATGCTGAGGGGAAAGGGAGAGGTTTTCAAGCTGAGCCATGCTGGCCCAGGAATTCTGGGAGTTGAGGTCCACGAGTTATAAAAGAGCCATGGTTGCCTACCCCTGCTCCAGAATTTCGGATCAAGAAGCAAATCTCTAGTGATAGACAACTGACTGCTCTGAGTTCATTTTTTTTCCCTCTAGTCCCCTTCAGAACCCTATCAAGTTTTTGTAGAAACCTGGGATTCACCCAAACACAGCTAGAAAAACCCTGGGCTAGGCCAGTCATTGTGGCAATGCAGAACAGTGGTATTGCGAGGAGTTAGTGGCTTCTCCATCATGTTAAGAAAAATCTAGAAGTTTAGAGCTCGTTCTGAGCCAACCTGCTTGTTTTTTGCTCTAACCTGCTAAATAAAGGAGGAGGAGGGAGGAAAATCTTCCCATAATTAAAAAGCATTTCCCATTGTAATAATAATAATAATAAAGTTGGAAGGGAGCTTGGAGATCATCTAGTCTAACCCCCTGCTCAGGTAGGAAACCCTATACCAGGGGTGGGGAACCTCAGCTCTTTTATGACTTGTGGACTTCAACTCCCAGAATTGCTGAGCCAGCCATGCTGAGGGGAAAGGGAGAGGTTTCCATGCTGAGCCATGCTGGCTCAGGAATTCTGGGAGTTGAAGTCCACGAGTCATAAAAGAGCCAAGGTTGCCTACCCCTGCCCTATACCGTTTCAGACAAATGGCTGTCCAGTCGCTTGTGAAGAGGTTTGATTCTCATCCAGAGTCACGTGCCACCCAGTCAAGGACAGGTCTTGCAGTCTCCTGACTATAGCAGGACCATGAATTCACAGTATCAAATTTTGTTTAAAACTGTGGGTTTGTTGTTATTAAGGGGGAACTTCTGCATGGAACCTAACATTAGATCAGTGGTTCTCAACCTTTTTAATGCCGCGACCCCAACCGGTCGTAAGTCAAGGACTAAACTGGTCGTTAAGTCGAGGACTAAACCGGTCGTAAGTCAAGGACTAAACCGGTCGTAGGTCGAGGACTACCCAACCGGTCGTAAGTCGAGGACTTTCCCTGCCCGGGAGCACCGCGCATGCGTGGTTCCGCCCCCTGCGCCAGCCGAGGCATAGCTGGCAAGCAGCAGAGACGGAGCAGGCCGACCACCAGCTGGACCAGCCCAAGGGAGGTAAGGCACCCACCGGAAAAGGGGGAAAAAATGGCGGACAAAAAAAATGGACAAAAAAATGGCAGACAGCCTTGCTTGGTGACCCCCATGAAATGGTCAATCGACCCCAAATGGGGTCCCGACCCACAGGTTGAGAACCACTGCATTAGATACTGTGGCAACTGGCCATCCCTTGGGGTATCTCTGCTGTTGTTATGAAGGAGCTCCTGACATCCTGTAAGAGATTTGGATATTATCTTGCTTGGTTATATGTATGCTTTTTATGTTGTGCTCTTAACTCTGTTTGCTTGAGCTAATAATAATGCTTAAAATCCCTTTATTTATTGGGGTGTTCCTTGTCTCTGGATCCAAAAGAATCAACTGCCTGGCCACTGATCACTGCCCTGACACTTGGCAAAACACAATCAAAATCTTAACATATCCACTTTGCTACATATTACCACAGTCTTAATGGACCTTACTCCAAAGCAAGCATCACACCCCAAACGTTTAGCAGGCATCCTTACTTCCTGCTTCTTCCCACTAGAGGGCAGCAATGCCCCACAGTTGGATAGGAGACCTTGAAATTATTGCCCTAATTTTCATTCCATTAAATTCTTCTATCCTATTTATTTCTCAGCATTGGTTGATCTTGTCTGGATTTGTAAATTAAGTAGGATCCAGCCTCAGAAATACTTGGATGAAAAACCACAAGTGGTTTCCAGAGCTGTAGGCTAGATTAGGAAATTTGGGGGGGGGGGGGAAGTCGCACAAGGCAAGAACAATCTATATCCACATTGTTGCCACAAAAATTGCATGGGTGGATCTGTGTAACCCTAGGAATCAAGGTCAATTTTTGATCTTATTTATCTTTTGCATTTATACTTTGCTTACTCACACTTGTGGTACACAAAGCATGGGAGTCAGAAGAAAGAGAAAAGTGCAATCGTTTTTGAACACGAGATTTGCACTTCAAAGGCATTCAAGATGGAGATAGCGGTATGAATGCATTTTAGCCAGTGATATATGCTATAATGTTTGAAATTAAATTAAAAAAATAATGGTCAGTATCTTCTATTGCTCAGCTGCAGCAAGACACCAATAACCTCAGAATTGTAAAAATCTTTTTTAAAAAAAGGTCTATGACTTAAGAAATACAGGGCCATTCATTTTAATTTAGGAGATAAGTGAATCTCTGAAATAATTTATGTGACATTTATCTTCCAAAAATTGCCAATGGATTCACTTAATCACACTCCCCAATTAAAATAGATTGATTCAAAAAAAAAAGTGTGCTTGAGAATGTGAAATGCTAACTGAATCTCCCTTCCTTAGAGAAGTCAACTTCCCCATTATGTTGCAGAATTCACAATTAAACAACTCTTTCAGGGAAAATTCAATACTGAACTTAATGCAGCAAAGGAGAGGGATCCCTGTGGAAACTGCTTGGAAGGAGGCAAAATCAGCATGGCACTCCATGAAATCAGATCTCTGTCGACCAAATTATCTGCTGAGATTGTTGGTACATTTCTGCTCTAGACCAGGCCCCGGTCCCTCAATCCCATTACAAATAGCCCTCGATTTAGGACGACAAATGGGACCAGAATTTCAGTCACTAAGCGAGTCTTCCCCCATTGACTTTGCTTGTCAGAAGCTAACTGGGAAGGTCGCAGATGGAGATCACTCGATCCCAGGACACTGCAAAAGTCATAAATATGAGCCAGTTGCCAAGGATCTGAATTTTAATGGCGTGACCATGGGGATGCTGCAATTGTCGTTAGGTGCAAAAGACTGGTCGTAAGTCACTTGTTGTAATTTTGAATGGTCGCTAAATGGACGGCTGTAAGTCGAGGACTACCTGTACATAAATGAAGTACATTTCCCACTCACCTGATGGGATAAAGCATTTGCTTGCCTGGCAGTCATCTGCTGGTCGTAACAAGAGTCACCAAAGACACTCGCTAGGATAGATGATTGCTGCAAGAAGAAAAACAGGAATTAATGTAAAGTCGAGCTCATCTCATTTTTATAAGTTCAGAGAGGAATTTGGCTGTCTCTTTTCCACCCCAAAAGGGTGCTTCCAGGTTTTACCATTACATGTTGTTGATTATAGGATTGATTTGCTCAAATTCTACAGACAGGAAGTTACTGAACAAGGCGGTGTTCTCAGAGTGATTATCCAGAAACAGAAACTTATAAAAGGGAGGGATAATTTGGAGTGGGAGAGATAAAAATGGGAAATAAAGAGAAAACAATATATTTACAGCTCTATCCATGCTAGATAATGACTGCAGAAGAAAAACATAGAGTAGGAAAAGAACGCTACCATTCAGAAACATTTCTGCACACAGATTTTAAACACGAGACGAGAGGGGACATGATAGCAGTGTTCCAATATCTCAGGGGCTGCCACTAAAGAAGAGGGAGTCCAGCTATTCTCCAAAGCGCCTGAAGGCAGGACAAGAAGCAACTGGTGGAAACTAACCAAAGAGAGAAGCAACCTAGAACTAAGGAGAAATTTCCTGACAGAACAATGAACCAGTGGAACAACCTGCCTCCAGAAGCGGTAAATGCGCCAACACTGGAAGTTTTTAAGAAGAGACTGGACAGCCATTTGTCCGAAATGGTATAGGGTTTCCTGCCTGAGCAGGGGGTTGGACTAGATGACCTTCAAGGTCCCTTCCAACTTTACTATTATTATTATTATTATTATTATTATTATTATTATTATTATTATTATTATTATTATTATTATTATTATTATTACGACAGAGAAACATAACCTTATGACATTACAAAAGTTGCAGTTGCTGAAGGGAACAATGACACGTTGATGGCATTCTGATGGGTAGATCATAGATGGCCCTACTCCAGAAATTGTTGACCTACACCAGGGGTAGGCCACCTTGGCTCTTTTATGACTCGTGGACTTCAACTCCCAGAATTCCTGAGCCAGCCATGCTGAGGGGAAAGGGAGAGGTTTCCAAGCTGAGCCATGCTGGCTCAGGAATTCTGGGAGTTGAAGTCCACGAGTCATAAAAGAGCCAAGGTTGCCTACCCCTGCCCTACACCTTTCAAAGCTCCAGCCACCTTGGACAATTCCTGGCCAATTCCCAACCTTTCCGTTCCGGTAACGGAGCTTCCGTTTCAGAGGGTTTTATAGGAAACATATAATCTGAAACAGGGATGGGCAATCCTGGCCCCTTGATGACCTGTGGACTTCAACTCCCAGAATTCCTGGCTCAGGAATTCTGGGAGTTGAAGCTTGCAGGCTGGAGAAGGGCCACAGTTGCTCACCCCTGATCTAAAAACCTTTTCAGTCAGGTTTCAGCTGACCACGATCTCTCTCTGGACCATCTGCAATACCTACAAGGGATGGGACTGAAGCACACTTCCATCCTTCCTAATTGGGGGACTCCAGTTGGGGAACATGAAGTAGAAAATCCAAAGTGGCCGTGGCTTGGTCCTCTCCTCCATGCTATTTAACACTAGCACTGATGATGTTACCTAGTTTGGGTAATGAAACGTCTGCAAGAAAACAAACAAGCTCAGACAGCATCAAGGAACCCTCATATTTAGCAACTATATGAAACCACCAGGAGAGGACATACATTGATTTCGAGTGAAGAACATTAATATGCCAAAGACAGTTACAGTAGTGGCCAAAATTGTGGAAACCTTTTGGGAAAAGTGTATTTTTGAGGTTTGAGGCTAATAATACCACTTTTTTTTGGAGTAGTACCATAAAATTATACATCAATGGAAAGATAATTTAATCAAGAATGTAATGCAACATAGTTTGTTCAGTTATCTGAACCATATTCTATGAAAAGTTATAGCCAAATAACCAGAAAAAGGAAGCACAACTTGCTTAGGTTGATATCAGGTAGCTTTCCTTCATCTGATTGTAGCCAATGAGCAGGAGTGTTTAGACAACCAATCGGGTGTCATCTTTTTTTTTGGCAATGAGCCAATCAGATCACGGTAGGATTCAGTTATTGATGTCACATATTGAAGCTGAGAGGAGGACATTTGTCAGTGTGTTATGTGATCACTATCAAGTTGGTTAGGACTTTTTTGTGTTCTTTCATTGAGTGAGCTTGTAAAATGTAATAAAATTAAAGTAATGGTGCAAAGAGTTGACTGGTCACTCAGAAAGTGATGTAAAATAGTATGATTAAGTGAACAAGGCTACAGTTATAAAGAAATTAGAAGAAAAATTGGTGGAAACGTAACCAAAGGTGGCATTTCTACTGTACACTTTTCCCAAAAGGTTTCCACAATTTTGGCCACTACTGTATGTATCTGTTTATTTAGACAATTTGTATCTCCACCCATCTCACATAACGTGACTCTGGGCAGTGTAGAAAGACAGCTACAGTTAAAACAATATAGCCTTTCTTATAACACGGAACATAAATCAAAACAAAAAGATGAAAAAAGCTAAGATTGCGAGAGAATAACCATCACCTTTTGAAACAGTACCAGATGCCTACATTGTAAGCTTGTGCAACAGAAAGGGTCCCCCCCCCTTTTTTTCTGCTTTGATGAGTGGGTCTTTTTGCCATGCAAGTACCTTTTTTTTCCATTAGAAAAACAGGAAACATGGAGTAGGTGAAAAAAAGTCCTTTCCCTATACAGGGGTAGGCAACCTTGGCTCTTTTATGACTCGTGGACTTCAACTCCCAGAATTCCTGAGCCAGCCATGCTGAGAGGAAAGGGAGAGGTTTCCAAGCTGAGCCATGCTGGCTCAGGAATTCTGGGAGTTGAAGTCCACGAGTCACAAAAGAGCCAAGGTTGCCTACCCCTGGCCTATGATATACTGTGGTAACAAATTCTGCAACAGTCTTTATCTCCAATTATCAATACCAGGTATATTTTAAAGTGTGGGTTTGGAATAAAATCAAAGAATTCATATTTAACCCCAAATGATGCACTGATTCAGCCTTTTATCGTCATGTGTAAAAATTGGCCTGAAAAATCTGCAGAGCTCTGGAGCTAAGTTAGAGGCGGAGAGCAGGCTGCTCCATCCCTTGGTGTCTCTGGGCCACGTGGCTGTGTCCCGGAAGCAGGCGCCATTTTCAAAATGGCTACAACGAACTGTGGCTTCGCCAAGGCCTATAAACAGAGTGACCTGCTCTTCTCCCCTAACATGAACTTTGGAGTTGTGGAGATCTATGAAAGGTAAGTGCGTGATCCACGATGGAGAATGGGGAGGAAGGTGTGGGATCTGGGAGAAAAGCCGCCTGTGGGGAACCAGCTTGGGGGGGGGGGGGCGGCACACTGCAGCATCCTTGTGCCTGGTTGTAAGGATGAATGCTGTCGGGGTGCTGCAGCAGCCGTAACTTTGAAACTGGGTGGTAAGTAGTTTTTGCGGGGGTTCGTTGTAAGCTGAGGACTACCTGTATGTGCCTGAATCCTAAAAGAAAACAAACCGACCTTTCAAAAGCAGGAGTGTCATCAATGTCCATTAGACCAGGGCTTTTCAACCAGTGGTACGGGTACCACCTGTGGTACATTGGCACCTGGCAGGTGGTACGCGACCATCCTAGAAAAGTGGTAGCGGGAGAGGGGAATGAGCTGAACCGGTGGCAGCACCGCACAAGCCTGAGCGAGAGACGGCTGGAGCTGCAGGGCTGTCAGGGCTCAGTGGAAGCCTCAGGATCAGCACCAGGCTCCAGCTGGAGCTCAGCGCTGATCCTGACACTTCTGCTGAGCCCAGAAGAAGCGCCAATCAGCTGGAATGTTGCAGCATCTCCAGGGTCTTGTGATTTACATGCAGATGCTTGGCAACTGATTCATATTTATGACGGTCAGTGTCCCAGGGTCATGTGAAGTGACCAAAACCTGCTGCAACCACCCAGCAAATGGGGGGAATAAAAACCAAAAAAACCCCACCCCACCCCCGCTGCCAATCCTCAACAGAAATGCTCACAACAATGAAAACCTCGGACAGGAGGAAGAGCGCCGCCGGGCGGGCAGGCAGGTATCTTGCTGGGCTGTGGCTTGGGGGACACTTTTTTCAATGCCATTGTAACTTCGAACAGTCATTAAATGAACTGTTGTAAGTCGAGGACTACCTGTACTTTATCATTTTTTTCCTTTTTTTTTTTTTGTCATCAGGTTTTTGACACCTTGCTAGGTGACTGGTGGTACTCGGATATTGCCATATCCTAAAAGTGGTAAAATGGGTGAAAAGGTTGAAAAGCCCTGCATTAGACAACCTCAGCCAGTTCGTACTACCGCAATGTTCAAAGGATCCAAAATTTAAAGGTAAAAATTGCTAGAGTTGCAACTATCCGTGTCTGCATTGCCTAGCAAGGCACTAGAGAAGTACATGATGGAGCCAAATGCAGACCCTGCCAGGAGAGAGTGGCGGTTGCAACAGGGAGGCTGTCATTCCTTAATTACATTATGGCAGGGATAGGCCACCTTGGCTCTTTTATGACTCGTGGACTTCAACTCCCAGAATTCCTGAGCCAGCCATGCTGAGGGGAAAGGGAGAGGTTTCCAAGCTGAGCCATGCCGGCTCAGGAATTCTGGGAGTTGAAGTCCACGAGTCATAAAAGAGTCAAGGTTGCCTACCCCTGCATTATGGGGATAATGAATTCTGGAGATCACAATACGATGTACAGGTAGTACTCAACTTGCAACAGTTCGTTTAGTGACCATTGCAATAGCACTGAAAATAAGGGACTTCTGACCATTTTTCACCCTTAAGAACTTTGCAGCCTCCTTAGGGTCACGTGATCAAAATTCAGACGCTTGGCAACTGGTTCCTATTTATGACCGTTGCTGTGTCCCGGAGGTATGTGTGTGTCATGTGATCAACTTTTGCGACCTTCTGACAAGCAAAGCCCATGGGGAAGGGAGCCAGATCCACTTCTTAATGACTCCAGGGATTCACTTAGCAACTGTGGCAAGAAAGGTCGTAAAATGGGGGCAAAATTCACTTAACAAATGTTTCACTCAGCAAC